CATCCACCCTGACAGTAAGCAACCAATGAGATGTTGGCATGTGACTTTGAACATATGACTGTGAATTCTAACCTACAAGTCAATGAATTCGCGAAATTGTCATGTCTCTACGTATATATTTATGCGTGCGTTCCAAATGCTAACGTTGCGATGACTTTCCGTCGCCTTGTTTAAGGCTGTTCACGATAAAGTGAGCACTTTTGAAATCGACCTTAGAAAAAAGTCACTACCCCTGCCTGCAAATATTTTAACGGGCGCACTGAGTGACATTCGTCCAGTAATGTTGGTAACGATGGGCGGAAAATAGTTCCAGATCTTGACGTCAGATTAAAAGTGTTAGATAACAGTTTGAAATTACTTAAAATATTTATTTTGCTTTGTACTTTTTTAATGTATCGAATTGTAAAAAATAAATCTTTGTGAAATATTTGCTTTTCTAATAATTGAAAGTTTCCCTTGAGCGACGCACAAATAAAGTGATGAGGCCCATTACAGTGTTAACACATTGAGGTCTGCATACATTTACTGGTACTTAAGACAAATTAGGAAGTGAGTCCCATATATCCACTACTGCAAAGAACACCGGTCCTGTTGGAGTCTGTGTTAGAACTCATCATCGTCCTATTGATCCATACCACACCGGACACTACCCTGTACCTTACAGCGTTCATTATTGGCCGGTCATCAACTAATGGAGAGCCGAGCTGATATTGACCCAATCAAATGTCCTTTATCGTATAAATGGATCTACAGTCAACCACGTCCTTCTGAATGGCTATACAGAACAAAATTCTACCATTAGCAATATAATTGTTACTGCGCTGTGGTGTTCTTGTGGATTTCATGTTAAACACTGGCCGAACAAAGACTGCACATCCATGTGAGTTTTGTTCTCATCAACAAAGAAATTTTCAAATTAGCTTTGCTCGAGCTACACTCGAGCATAGTCTACAAAGTGTTAATTTTTCATAAGGCGGGGATAATAAACAACGTGCATACAAGTAGATCTTAAGCAGGGTTTTCAAAAGTGCTCATTTTACCGTGAATAGCCTTTACTTACCGAGCTGGGCGTGGGGTCGCAATTACCATACCATCTGCCGCCAACAAGTGAACGTGGATCCTAGTTCTCCGTTCACGGTATCTCTATCATGTGACTGTGAGGCCAGAATCGTGATCAGGGACGCAGCATGTCCAAACACCCCGTCACACGATCAAAGTTCACTTCAAATTTCCTTCAAATGCATTCAATTAAATTCCTTGAATGCTGTGTGAGGTCATTCGGACGTCACGATCACCGCCATTTTATCTTTCAAGCCGATGAATGACTCATTTCTTCAAAGATGTTCGTTTAGAACATGTTCAATATTTTCTTGAATCCAATTTTTCAACTAGCTCTACGCACCATTAAACTATTATAAATATAAAGTACAGTGTCTAGATACAGTAATTTATGCACACTTAAGCTAAACCAATATTTTCATATATTTATTTCATACAAAGTAAATATATTGTCTTAGAAAAAAACATTTTTTTTACAAATTGTTTTCGCGTAATGTATGGTTTTACAGAAGGTTGAAAAAAAAGTTTATTAAACTTATTTCTAATGTTTTCAACGGAAATATTTCAAGTTGCCACTTCGATATATATTGAATATAGCTGCATGTGTGTAACGCCTTTCCAAACTTTAAAATAATAAATCAATTTCTTTTGAATTCAATCCATTGAAGTGCATCTGAACACTTTCTGTATTCAGTTGGCTGAATTCAATAAAATATTTGATCTTGTAAAATCGCCCTAAACCTCAGGGAGGGCCAAGACAAACAGAGATCACATTTATCAACCTTGCTTCCATTTTTTAAAAAAATTATTATAATTCTGTTAGCTCAATATAGGCAATTTCTTCTAATATTATGCTATGCATCGCGATATCAATGATGTTCTGTAGATTTTTAATACAAGCCACTGGCCCAGCGATTAACATTAAAATATAAGTAATTTTTTTGAAAATTTCAGTAATTATTTGTTAACAAAAAATAAAAATCGATAACCTCTGCATTTCTTGTCAACTGCAGTCCTTCGTGAAATGTGAGATCGTTAGACAACTAGATGTACGTTTAGTTACCAAAAAATACTGTAGTTAGGCTACTCGTTCATTCCTAATCTAGGTCAACTGAAAAGATCTAGAATACAATTTAGTCTTTTCTCATAAGTTTATAGAAAACCTTTTTTTAAAGCATACTTTATTTATAAACTTATATTTCTAGTAGAAATTTAAATAAGGGTTGTTCACTATAAAGTGACCACTTTTGAGACCAACTTTTTAAAAATGTAGTTGCCCTTACCGGCATGTGACTTCACAGGTATACTGACTGCCATGCGTCTCCTATAGTTGGAATCGACGGAGAGAAAGTATTTCAACGTCTTAACGCTGAATTAAAAGTGTTAGGGAAACATTTGAGAATACTGAAATGACTTGTTTTCCGTTATTTATATTTTTTATACAAATAAGTGTACGAATTGGCAAAATTGTGAAATATTTACTTTTCTAGCAATTTTCCAGGTGTACCTGATCGACGCATGGATAATGTGACCAGACCCATAGTATTGTTAATTTTACATATGGCGGAAGTATATCTAATGCGGATATAAGTAAATCTTTAGCAGAGCTTTTAAAAGTGCTCACTTTACCGTTAGCAGACTTCATCGTTTATTATGACATGTATTAATGTTTTAAACCTTGTCCCCTTTGGCATACTATGACAATTAGTACACTGTAAGAAATTATTCAGAAATTTGTAATACCAGCATCTACGCTTAGTGAGAAATCAAGAATGGCAATGATTTATCCCTATACGTTCATTGTAGCGTTCCTAGATTTGCTCAGTAAACAGTCAAATGCGTAGGGAAGTTCCCACCTTTGTATATAGTAGCGACGCTAAACATCCCTATATCTGCAGCTTGATGTGTTGTTATTGTTTCCATACAGTGTATAGGTTAAAATCTTCCATTACAGTTTAGGAAGTTTACCAGAACATTTTTTTACAGTTTAGGGTGGGGGCTATGGCCCCTGACCCCCTCCTCTTTGGCTCATCTTGCTGTGACCCTGCTTGTAAAATGGCAGATACATTGATAACACCAACAGCACCGTTAAAACCACTATATTTCTCTTTTAAAGCACACAATCTGAACTAAAATTAGCTTAGAATGACTATCGAGCCTTACAAAGATATTTACCTACGTACGCATAATATGTGTATATTTCGACAACATGAAGTACTTCACATTACGAAACTTACAGCCGTTCGCCATTGTAAGTTTATGTTACTACGCAAATGAGAGATCTTTCCTCTCAGTGGCAAAGTAGCAGAGTTGGTAGAACGTCAGCCAAAAGAAACAAGAGAATGTGTTGCGTTTTGGGCTGGCGGTTCGATACCAACCACTTCCAATATTTCCTTGTACATGTAATAATTTAGTTTCTCGACAAAATAATTGTACTTAATTTATTTCAAACAGTAATGCGCGGTTTTTAATCCTTGTGCTTTTTATTGATTTATTATGAATAACTGATTTTCTACTGTTTGTATTAGTGGATTTCATTTAACTGAAGAGATTAGTAGTTTTCTTTTTCTACTGATTCCGGATGGAGCAGTTTCAACTGACTATCAGTAAAAAAAAATAACTGATTCCGATTTAGAGTGTGCCCCGTGCAGAAATGAACCTAGTGGCCACAGGCAACGGGAAGGAACAGAAATTGCCAATTACTCAATCTCCATATTCGGTTATCCAGTGGAGATTTTCTGCAAAACGTGGGAAGCAAGGTTTGCGCTCACAGTAGCTTTGACTATAGTTTCGCGTGTGTGGGTTAAAAATCTACATGCCCCCGAAAGGTATTCACCAGATAGTAATTCTATAGTAACGATGAATTTTGAATCTTTCGGACGGTTTCATTTTGCGAACGAAATGGTAATTCATGCAATATCACCACTTGTCAAAAACACAGGAACTGGGGACACGCAAAATGTAATTAATTACATTTGCCAAGATACATTTCAATTCTACTCAATTTCAACGTGAGTTTCTGTAAACTTACAAGCATTAATACGTCAAATGTAATAAACGTAAATATATGTCTGAACTGAAGAAGTTACGCTTACTTTGAATAAATGAAATACGAATTTCAGTACATAGACACAGCTTATAAAACAAATATTTTTTCCCCCTTTTTGGCTATTTAGCGTTTTTACTGTAGTGTGGGGAAAATGTTCTCCAAACTGTTCCAATACATTTACACGCATTACTGTAAATGGACAGTAAACTGTCGACTCTTGATAAATGATTACAATTTATTGCCTACCAGTACAAATAAATCACGTCACAGTGATTCATTTTCACATCCGAGCAGTTGCGATTCGGAGCATGGTTTATTGGAGAACCAGCTGTGTTTAGAGTTCCAAATGAATTCTCGCTCGAGAGAGTAAACCAAATTCAGAGATCCACTAACCTAATTTTGAGAACCGCTGGTAAATAAAACTTTGTGTGAACTGTAGTAATATCTGGTTTTACAAAGCAAAGTCGTACACGTTTTATAGATAATCCGTATGTTTTTACCCAAGACAATCTCCGTGATTCCTGGTTTTAATTACAGGTATTCAGGATTGTATATGTATATATATATATAGTTAAAGAGCAAATTTATTGTATTGCGTAATCCTGAAATTCAGTTTACTCTCAGCGTTAATCAGTAATGTTGTTAAACGCAATACTTAAAAATAATGTTTCTGTATCTGAAAGTAGAATTGTAATGTACTGTGTAAGTACAAGTAACACGATGGATGGATAGGGATAGGTAGGGATAGAAAAATGACACTACCTTATGTCTCATTCTAGTGTTCATTGGTTGGGTTATGGGTCCAGCATACTTCCACTGTGCGACTCTGCTGTCGTGGGTTCTATCCACAGACTTCTGGGTTATGGGTCCAGCATGCTTCCACTGTGCGACTCTGCTGAGGTGTGTTCTATCCACGGACCTCTGGGTTATGGGTCCAGCATGCTACCACTGTGCCACTCTGCTGACGTATGTTCTACCCACGGACCTCTGATTTATGGGTCCAGCATGCTTCCGCTGTACCACTCTGCTGAGGTGTGTTCTATCCACGGACCTCTGGGTTATGGGTCCAACATGCTTCCACTGTGCCATTATGTTGATGTGTGTTCTATCCACGGACATCTGGGTTATGGGTCCAGCATGCTTCCACTGTGCGACTCTGCTGAGGTGTGTTCTATCCACGGACCTCTGGGTTATGGGTCCAGCATGCTTCCACTGTGCGACTCTGCTGACGTGGGTTCTATCCACGGACTTCTGGGTTATGGGTCCAGCATGCTTCCACTGTGCGACTCTGCTGAGGTGTGTTCTATCCACGGACCTCTGGGTTATGGGCCAGCATGCTTCCACCGTGCCACTCTGCTGATGTGGGTTCTATCCACGGACCTCTGGGTTGTGGGTTTTGATTGGAAAGTACTGTTCTTCATTGCTTTTTTTACATTTCAACAACTGAATTCCACCAGAATATTTTAGAATGTGTAGTCTATTCGCGGGTTCTCCGCACTTTTTGGATCAAACCTTTCAAGACCAACCCCATGCATGACTAGATTATTTGTTTCTTAAATATATTTAATGAGCAACAAGTGTTTCATATTAGTGTTAACGTAAGTGTATATGCTGTTCATGGTAATATTCCTTTCGCTTCTGTTTTTGTTAATGCAACGAAGTATAAAAAGGACCAGATTTTGTAAAATATTTTTCTTTCCCAATAATTCCAGTTTCACATGACCGACGGCTGAAGAAAGCGATGGAGCCCACGACAATGTTAATTTTACATAAGGTGGGAAAATACACAACGTGCATACAAGTAGATCTTAGGCAGGGCTTTTCAGAAGTGCTCATTTTATTGTGAACAGCCTATACACATCCATACACACACAGCAGGGAGATGTCTCGCTCGCCTCCAATGTAGTGATGGGTCGTTCGCGAGCGAGTCGTTCAAAACGAACTACTCTCTAAAAAAAGAGCGACTCGCGAGTTGCTCTTCTTTAGAGTCGAATCATTCACGAATGATAAGAGCTAAGGCTCGGCGTTTCGCTACGCTCAGTCAGCCCAAAAAAGACAGCTCTTCGGCTCGGGAGATATAACAAGACTGCTCATTTGGCATTTAACAATCGCATTCAAAGGGCGCGTCTGTTCTGTTTACGAGCACGCAAGTAATAAAACTGGAGACAGGAATACCGTGAATATTTCTAAGCGTGGACAAAAGCACTCAAGCATATTAAGTGTGGGGTTTTCAAAATATTTTAATTGATAATTTTTCTAATATTTCGACACCGAAATAGTTTGGGAAGACTGCGTAGATATTGTTGACTGCGCGCTCTCGAGTTTTCTGCAGATTTCAATTCACCAAGACTTTTTTCACTCTTGTAATAATGTCAAAATTAATATACATCATAGTTATGGTATATTTAACATTTTTAATGAATTGAAAAACGACAAAACTGTTACGAAAATAATTACAATATACCTTAAACTGTGTATCAAATGCCATGTATTATGCGATCGCATGTCTTTACATCAGCGCAGAGATGCGAGCCGCTCTTCGCTTCTATACTACTCTCAACTCTACGAAACCCGACTAATTCGAGGAACGAGACGACTCTTTTGAACGACTCTTATGAACGACTCTTCACCAAGAGCGAGAGCGAGTGAGCTAGCTTATTTGAATGAACGGGTTCGACACACCACTACTCCAATGCGACCGGATACACCTGGGTGTCCATCGCCATTTTTGCCATAACCTATTACTTATGTACAGGATAGCGACAGTATTTTCTTTCCATACATGCGTATGTTCATTTACTGGGACGCTAAATGTACTTCCAGAGGTCTAAGTAAATTTTAGTTCTAGTGCAATTCGTCATAAATCTGTAGCTTATATCTGCCAGGTTGTGCGACGAGTCAAGTACAGCTAGAATAAAACCCGTCCCAATAGTCAGGGTAAGTACACACAACGGTAAATACGAATATGTATATACTTGACAAGTGTGTACTTACTACTGAGATACAGCCAAAATACGTCCCTGAACACGATGCTCTTATAGGTTGTTCACGGTAAAGTGGGCACTTTTTAAGGCCCTGCTAAAATTTTCCTTTCAATTTATTAATTTATAACTTTTCGCCACTTTTTAATATAAACATCACAACATGACTAAAAGACACAGTGTATACATTTCACTACTCTTGAAAGTTTACGTCTGAGGCTGCAATAAATTGTATTTATTGGGGGGGGGGGGTTAATGCATTTTGAAAGGGCCTTTAAAAGTGCTCACTTTACCGTGAATGACCTATATAAACACTAGCCACTAGTACGACTAGTGTTACGCGTGTACGCGAAGTACGCGAAGCAGAGCACGCCCTCCAACACACGTTCAGAGTGGGCGAGAAAAATGGAGGAGTGACGTAAGCAAAGTCCGACAGCCAATGAAATGTGCATGCCTTCGCAGGCAGATGTGGATGATTGGGGAAAAAAAAAAAAAATTCCAGCATGTAATTCGGCTAAGTGTCGTAAGTGTTAAGAGTTAGTAGTCCGGGCATATTTTATGTAGATCCTCTGTTTGAGCGTTTGCGTTCATCTCAGCAGATGAATACCACGGGCAGGCGACTTTTAGCCAGAAAAAATAGAAACCTATAAGCCTGTACAGTTTAGTTACCATCGCAATAGGTGTATAATAATAGAAAATAAAGTGAAAATATTCGAAAAATCACACTATAAGAGCTTGCCTGCGTAGTTTCTGTTAGAGTTGGGAGCAAAGGAAAACCTTCCTGCCATAGTTCAATCTGCGGGCTTTCATCGCGTGCGATAAAGTCGCAGTTTTACAGATCTTGATTGCACAGGAAGGCTTAGCAGCGAAAGCTGCTTGTCCGTAGGTCAAGAAGCGAAGGAGCGATACGGTCGACAGTTACACGCACGCCTAGCGCCTCGTCGCTCCTACGCGCAAGCCGTGCAGTGTTTCCGTCGCGACGCTGAACTGTGAAGATTCAGTGGGGTTTTATCACACGCGGTGAAAGACCACAGATTAAACTACTCCCGCATCTGTGTATTTCTCTCTTGCCGCTTAAGAAAACTGCATAAGCAAATTTTGAAATATACGATATTTGACCATTTTCACCATTATTTTTCTCCAAGAATACACTTAATATGACAAAAGTAAAAAAAAAAATAGGGCAAAGGATAATTTATTTTTTTTTTTAAATCTTTTCTGACAAAAATGTCATATTTCCAACTTTTATTTACTAAGGCACGCGTTTACGCGCAAACAACGATTTCGCAGAAAACGTTTCAGTACATAGGACCCTTAAGGCGTGTCTACAATCGGCCGTTCCTGTTGACGTGTGAACGTGTCCGAAACTCGGCGTCAAGTGACGTCACGTAGACGCAGTCCGAATGTGGTCTACGAATGCGTTGTCCGAAGTGAGCTTTCAGTATATCTGACACTAGATCGCAGTAAATCCCGCACACTATTTGTTGTTTTGTAGTGATGTTTATATGATTTGCTGAATTAATGAGTATTTAATGTTTACGAAATGGGTGATTTTCGTATTCATTTATAATGAACGACTTAACGGTTTTATTTTAAAAGTTCTAGCCGTCAGATAAAACTGTTCAGGCCGAACGAAGACATCGCTGATTATTTTTTTAGCATTTCCTCTCGTTTGTTTTGAGAAAGTCCGCCTTGCAAGTCCGTTGTTTACATTTAAAACGTAAACATTCCATTAATACCCGCGAAAGTATTGGGAGTCTTCTTCTTCTTTTTCTATCAACTTAGGACGTGACTTGGGACACGGGAGATAGGGACAGCACCATGACGTCAGAGGGTCGCGTGCACCAATCAGCGTATCCTTGTCCTAAGGCACTGTTTTGGGATAGCACAGTTGTAGACAGGACTTTATTGTCGCCCGAATCGCTGTCCCTAGAAAGAGGGGGGAAAAAAAATCAGGTCCATTTGCTATTAAGGCTTGGATTCACACCTTCTGCAGAAACTCTTAGTTTTCGTCTCATAATCTCAGTTTCAGAGGTATTATCGAAAATCTTGAGTATAGAAAATTAAAAATTACAATTTACTAGTTGTTTAATAATACTTTTTGTATCTAATTTGCACTGTGTTATTCTCTGCGTGCAAAATAGTCCGGTACTTATTAATAAATTATATATACCTTCTCGAATTTTTACAACTTGCAATTAACACACAGTTAAAATTCAGAGGAAAAACGTAAAAATAAAATGAAAAACAAAACTAACTCGCGAAACGTAAATTTTCTGTCATAGTACATCGTCAGTTATTACTATGAATCCGAAATTATGACGCGAAAACGAAGGAATTTTGCAAAAAAAAAAAAAAAAAAGTGAAGCCGTGAGTTAAGACACCCCAACCCGCATTAATTTGGCTTTCTCGCGCCGCTCCCGCTATGGCATGCGCGCGCCGGGTGCTTCCCTCGCCGTGCACCCGGTACCTCGTACCTGTTGGTGGGGGAAGCTAGGTTCGTCGGCAGCACGCGCCATTGTTTGCCGGCCACTGTTTAGCACAGCCGTGTTTACACGCGGTGGCGGTAATCTGCATTCAGCACTTCATCAGAGCAACAAGGCGCCATGTATCCTTCCTTGCCCACACACCATAAATCACTTGGCATTGCCTGCCCCCTCCCCAACCCCTCCCCCCCCCCCCCGACACTTTCTCATAAGCCCCTTTGCAAGCCTCTTCCACAATAGCCTTGTGCGGGCTGCCGGCTTTGCATCTTCAGACCTCTCTTCTGCTAAGTCCTTTTGACGCCATTCTTCTGGAAAACCGCGCCGAACATACACATGCTATGTAAATAATAGTTTTTCTTTTTTAATGCCGTGGGCTTTCGTTGTTCTTGTCCTAATTCGTTTCCAAGTACAAACGTTACTGCTACAGGCTCTTTTGAAATTTCTCCTCAGGATATCCTTTTCTGCCATTTTCCCCCAATCTTCATGTTTAGTATCT